CCTCTGGGTTACTTTCTCTCTCTCTTTCCCTCTCTCTCTCTCTCTCTGCCTCTCTCCTGGGTTCCAGGAACTCCACAGAGGTAACCACCACTGGGGGGTCCCCGCATAAAGAGACTGCATATATGGTTCTCAGTTTCATCTATTTGTTTCTTTTCTTTTTCATGAATAATTAGTCCTGGAAAGGAGGCTCTACATTCAGTCCTCACACCTAGATGAAAGTATGACTCTTGTTTTTCTCAAAGCAGAGTAGCTTTCTTGCTCTTCTTTTTTATGTAAATGTGAAAGCTGGTTAGTTTTCATGAATTTTCATTAAATTATTATTACATAATAATGTATTAAAGTAATAAGACTATAATTTTCCTCCCTCTTTGTGGACTTAATTAGGAAAAAGGATTAGCTGCTGTTTCAGTTTTATTGTTGAAGAGAAATATTTGTGATGCCCCAGACAAGTAGGGAAAAAAAAGGACTTCAGTGAATTTCTTTTCTTAGGAAGGAACACTATGTGCCTTTTTTTTTTTCCAGAAAGATGCAGAAGAAAGTTTCTTCTTTGTCTGTTGCAACATCAGTCATATCAAAGAGGAAGAGAGCATAGATGGCCAAATGCATCAGTAACTCACTGGCTTATAGCCATGCTTGTTCCAGAGGCCTCCTGGGAATCCGGTTTAATATTTCTCTCACTTTGTTCTCCAGGATGGATATTATTTTAGGTGTCCGTGTCTCAGATAATAAACAGCCCTCCCTCCTCATTTAGGATATTTGACTTTCTCATGTCCCCTAATTGACATGGGAAATGAATGTGATGAGGTTTTCATCTGATCCACAGATGATACAAAAGCCACCTCAGTGATCTGTTTGGTCCTAGGATGTCTTGTAAATCCTGAATCAATGAACTTGTCAGAGGAAGATACTGTTTGTCATAAAAGGCCAAAAGCTCATAAGGAAACGTAAATGGAACATCCTAGTCCAAATTGGAAAAAAATGTCACATCTTCTGTCTCAATGGATAATGGCCGTGCTGTTTGTCAAGAGATCTAGTTTGTTAAAATGATATAGGGAGGAGAGGCTTGACCTGGGGATTGTGAAATGTCACAGGTTGGGAAAGGATTATTCTCTGACTCGTGTAAGATTTAGTCAGAATGGACCCCTCTGATTTAGGCTGGAAAAATCTCTTGTGTGGCTCTACTGATGTCACGAGGCATCATACTGTCCTCAAGATCCCCCGAGACTTGTGGGCCTTGTCCTCCCTGACCTCTGAGTCTCCTTTACCCTTGCTGAGCCCCTCCTCCTTTCTGGAATGCTCCCCTTCCTCCTTGCCCTGCCCCCCTTGCAGTGTCCCTTATGTATGGGAGCCCCGTGAGGCTGGGCCCCCAAACCTCTTTCCCCTTCACACACACACACCTTCCCTGGGCATCACACCCGGCGATCACGTCCATGCCATTAACTCCAGGCTCCCTGCACATCCACGTGTCCACCGATCCAGGCTGTCTCAAAGGCACCTCAGACCAAACACTCACCTGCTTCTCCCTCAGAACAGACAGCGCTGGGGGTGCTTTTCAGTCAGCGGCACTCCTCCCACCACCTCCCCACCTGCACAGCCAGGAATCCAGGGCTCCCTCCTGACACCTGTCCTTCCTCGCGCCCCCTCAGTCCACAGTTAGGTCTGCTGGTTCTGATTTCCTAAATACCGCTCAGTTCTCTCCAGCCCCACCATCATCAACCCATCCAGACCACCCTTACCTTTCCCAAAGACTGCAGCAAAAACCTCCCAAGTGAGCCTAAAAACTTCCCAGACTCCACCTGTACTCTCATTCCTTTTTGATACTTTGAGTTTGCAGCCAGAATGACTTTCTCAAATGCCTGTCTGGTCACCTGACTGCCCGGTCCCGCCCTCTACTTAAAATTCTCACTGGGTTCACTTGGCCCAGAAGGCCTCCCTGGGACGCTCTCTGCCCACTTCCCTCTGAGCTCCTTCCACTCTCCTCTTCACACTCCACCTCAAGCCACAGGATTCTTTCAGTTTCTCAAACTGTGCACGTATTGTCACCCCTCCTCCTACTCGTCACGTCCTCAGGGAAGCCCTCCCTGAATGCTCTAAGTTCCCTGAGTGCCCAAGTCCTCCTACAATGAGCACGTAGAGCCTTGGCATCGATACGTAATAGTGCTTATCACCGATTTTACATATGCATTTATCTGAGTAGTTACTTGATTAGAATCTAGCTTTCAATGAACTAGCACCTCCACGAGGATAAAAACCATCCCACTATGCTCATCAGTTTGTCTCCATAGGTCCTGGCTTAGAGCAAAGATTTTTAAATTATTCAAAGAAGGAATACATGCATTTTAGGAGCCAAACCAGTTATGTATATATATATATATTTTTAAACCTAGAACGGAGGTTTGCAAACTGTGGCTTGAGAGCCAAGCCAGCCCTTGTCTGATTCCGTAAATAGAGTTTTATTGGAACTCAGCCACACCATCGGCTGACGTATTGTCTACAGCTTTCTCACCACAGAGGCAGAGATGAGTAGTTGCAATGGAGACACCAGGGCTCACAACATACGTCCCATCTGGCATTTACAGAAAACTTGCCAACTCCTTCTCTAGAATCCTAGTGAGCCCAAACTAAAAAAAACAAAAAAGGGGGGGGGAGGTGTTTTCTAAAAATGGAAACCAGACTAACGAAGCTAACCTATGCTTCTTTTGTTAGGTATTTGAGATGATCCTTAATCCTGGAGATAATATCCTCGTAAATGAACCTATTTATTCAGGAACAATTCATGCTGTGAGTACACATGTCTACAAAAGGCAACTCTCTTTTCTTCTAACAAATAAGAACCACTGCACCTTGAGAATTCTCTGTCCACTGAAACATAAAATAGCATCTTTCTTCTTAAACAGGAGAATCATTAATATTTGCAAAATATGTGAAATGTTCCCTCTGCTTTATACATTTCTCCTTACAAGGTCTAAATGTAGAGGTGCTAAAATTGGGTCTTGCAAAATCATGTCCAGATGTGTTAATATTCCACCTGAAATGTGACTTAATTTACAAAGACATTTTTTCACTACCACCTGTATTACCACATGCGTAAGGATGGCCATATGTCAGTGTAGGATAACTGTACAGTAACATGGTACGATCAGGACTTTCCTCTCCAGTGTTAATTAACGGGACTCTAATATCCAGAACGAGGAATCGCATCACCTGCTCTGCTGTGCCCTGGTCAGAACACACCACTGTCGGGGGCACAATACTTTTGGGTCGATGTGAATACAGACTGGAGCACAGTCGGAGAAAAGCGACCAGAGTGAACAAAGAAATGGAAATAATACCATAGGTTGAATTGTTTTAGGAACTATGCTCTTTTCTGCAGAGAGAGAAGACTCCACGGGGCCATGAGAATTGTCCTCAAGTACATGAAATCTAGCCATGTGACAGAGGAGTTAGATTTGTCTGAGCATGTCCTCCGGTTCATAGAAATTGAACCAAAGGGTAGAAACTACAGGGAAACAATTTCAACTCAATGTAACAACCGTATAACCATCAGCCTTACCAGCTCTCTGAGGAGTAAAGCACTGCCCATCACTGCAGGGGCTCAAAGAAAGAAGCCAGACACAAAAGGACAAATATTGTATGATTCCACTTGTACTAAATATCAAAAACAGGCAAATTCATAGAGACAGGAAGTTGATGAGAGGTTACCAGGGCCTGGGGGAGGGGGAAATGGGGAGCTGTTGCTTAATGACTACAGGGTTTCTGTTTAGAGTGATGAAAAGATTCTGGAGATTGATAGTGAGAGATGCACACATTATGAACGTAATTAATGCCACTGAATCCCACACGTTAAAATGGCAGAATTTTTGTTATATATATTTTACCACAATTTTAAAAACTAAAGTAAAATAATGGCCTTAATCATTGGATACTAATTATTCATTATTTTCCTGAACTCCAAAGATGTAAGATTACACAATGCCTGTAAAACTTGTATCTATGTAAATAGCACGATGCACACACGTTTTCACATGCCCAAACAGAAACCCGTGCCACACTGTGAGGGAATATGCCGACGGTTCATATGCGTTTATCTCGTGACCCAGTATGAACTTGTTTTATTCATGTACATGTGTTTTTAAAGTCTAAGGCCTTTTAAATTTGCCACGAGTAGGGTCTGGATTATTCTCACTTAGTGCATAAGTCTACATTTGACCACTAATATGTGTGTTTGCATATCCTTTGAAAAATTTTTTTCTGAGAACTTCACTCAATTATTGGGGGTTTTTTCTTAATTTTTATTGAAATATAGTTTATTTACAATGTCATGTTAGTTTCAGGTATACAGCAAAGTGATTCAGATATATATATATCTGTTCTTTTTCACATTCTTTTCCATGGTAGGTTATTACAGGATATTGAGTATACACTTCGCTGTGCTATACAGTAGGAACTTGCTGTTTATTTATTTTATATATTGTAGTATGTATATGTTAATCCCAAACTCCTAATTTATCCCTCCCCACCTTTCCCCTTTAGTAACCATAAGTTTGTTTTCTATGTCTGTGAGTCTGTCTGTTTTATAAATAAGTTCATTTGTATCCTTGTCTTAGACTCCAGATATAAGTGCTATCATATGATGTTTGTCTTTCTCTGTCTTACTTCACTCAGTATGACAATCTCTAGGTCCATCCATGTTGCTGCAAATGGCATTATTTCATTCTTTTTTATGTCTGAGTAATATTCCGTTGTATATATGGACCATATTTTCTTTATCCGTTCATCTGCTGATGGACATTTTAAGTTGCTTCCATGTCTTAACTATTGTCAACAGTGCTGCTATGAACATTAGGGTGCATGTATCTTTTTGAATTATACTTTTCTCCATATATATGCCCAGGAGTGGGATCACTGAATCATATGGTAACTCTACTTCTGGTCTTTTAAGAACCTCCATACTGTCTGTTCTCCATAGTGGCTACACCAATTTACATTCCCACCAACAATGTCAGAGGCCCTTTCCTCCACACCCTCTCCAGCATTTATTATTTGTAGACTTTCTGATGGTGGGCATTCTGACTCATTTGAGGTGGTACCTCATTGTAGTTTTCATTTGCATTTCTCTAATAATTAGGGATGTTGAACATCTTGTCATGTGCCTGTTGGCCATCTGTATGTCTTCTTTGGAGAAATGTCTACTTCAGTCTTCTGTCCATTTTTTGATTGGGTTGTTTTTTTTTGTTTTTTGATATTGAGCTGTATGAGCTGTTTGTATACTTTGGAAATTAATCCCTTGTCAGTTGCACAGTTGGCAAATGTTTTCTCCCAGTCTGTAGGTTGTCTTTTCATTTTGTTGATGGTTTCCTTTGCTTGTTATTAATAAGTCCCAATTTTTCTTTATGAACATAAAAATACAAGACTTTTATAAAACTATGTCTATAAGCAAGGCCACTATTTTCAACTTCAGCCTCTGCAATTGGTACAGTATTGAAACACTTCCACATGCCTTGATGAGCCACTGCCACTATGCTCCCTGGCTCCCCTGGCTCCTCTCCTAAGACCACCCTGAACCCCCCATGGTACAGAGCTAATGCTGACCTGGCATGGGGCCTACAGGATGCACCTGAAGTGCCCGTGCTACACCACTTGTCCAATATTTTGAATATCACCTCTGCTTATAACTATTTTATGTATTAGCATCACAGATGCTTTATATGATGAATTTACTTTGTAAAAAAATTCCTTAATAAACTCCTATTTTATGAAGCAGTTCTAACCATAATTATAAAGATGATACAGTCAGAAGAGGCTGGGTTATGCTGTGGAATAGCTGACTCCTTATCTCGCTGGCCTATGGCTGCAAAGTCCTGTCTTTCTCTCACACGCCGTGTCCACGGTCAGGCCACCAAGCTCTGTGCCATGCTATCTTCATCCCAGGCCCCAGAGTGACAGAAGCAGCCTCATCTGGACCGCTGCCAGTCTTAGAGCAGGGGGAACAGGGAACGAGAGACCCAAGCTGGGATTTAAAGCTTCTGCTTGGAAGGAACACCCATCACTTCTGCACGCAATTTATTGACCAAAGCCAGACCCCTGGCCAAGCCTGCCATATATGAGCAGGGATGTCTACCCTTCCTCCAGGAATTGACAGGGAATATTTTTGAACCATAATGGAAGCTTAACCGGGGCAACAGTGGAATCAGAAAATACCACCTCAGCCCTTGGGTGTAGGGCTGAGTGCAGGTTTGTGTTTAAGGGTATAAATGGTAACATTTTCGTTACTGTAAGAACCAGTGACTATGATATTTGGTATCATGTCTGAGTCTTGGGTTTTCTTTTCTCCTGTCCTCCACAGGTGCAACCACTGGGCTGCAACGTTATTAACATTTCCAGTGATGAGCACGGGATTATTCCAGACTCCCTCAGAGAAATACTTTCCAAATGGAAACCAGAAGATTCAAAGAACCCCAAGAAAAACACCCCCAAATTTCTTTATACTGTCCCAAATGGCAACAACCCTGCCGGGAACTCATTAACAACTAACCGCAAAAAGGAAATCTATGAGGTATTTTCAAAGATTGTGTTCCGTGGCTGTGTTCTTGTTTCTTTCTGACCCTTTAGAAGAGTGCTCTCAAGTTCCTTCTCTGATTAGCCTCTTGCTCTCAAGGAAGATGATTTTTTTATTTTATTTTATTTTTTGCGGTACGCGGGCCTCTCACTGTTGTGGCCTCTCCCGTTGCGGAGCACAGGCTCCGGACGCGCAGACCCAGCGGCCATGGCTCACGGGCCCAGCCGCTCTGTGGCATGTGGGATCTTCCCGGACCGGGACACGAACCCGTGTCCCCTGCATCGGCCGGCGGACTCTCAACCATTCGCTACCAGGGAAGCCCAAGGAAGATGATTTTTAATAAAAGGGTCCCCATAAATTTAAACTCAAGAAACTATTACGCTCTTGCTATGAGGTTTTCCTTTCCCTTTAATTGATATTTTGGTTGAAAGAGACGTTACTGTTGGTGTAGTGTTAAACTCACCTCTTCCTCCCCTCTCTTCCTTCTGTCTTCCCCTCACCCCCACCTCCAATGCATCCCGTGGCTCCCACCACCAACGTTATCCAAACCCACCGTCTCCTTGGCCGCCCGCCCGCCCTCCCGGACCCCATGACTGCCCCCCTCCTCACAGCTCCCACCCCCGGCTCGTGGCATCCTTCCTGCTCAAGTGTAGATCTACAACCCCTCCTCCAGCTGCTTCCCTGCACTTAAAACAAGATCAGAGTCCTTCACCTGCCACGCACAGTTATGCGACCTGGGCCTCGGTTCTCAGGTCTCTCACATTCTTCTTGTTGCAGCTACAGAGCCTTCCTTCTGTCCCTGACACACCTATGCCTTCTATAAACGTCTATCCCTTAAACATGCAAAGTATTTTCTCACCCCCAGGGCCTTTGCTCCTGGTCCCTCAGTCTAAAATCCTCTGCCCTGTCAATCTGCACGCCTGGTCCTTCCTGCCGGCCTGAGCTCTCCTGGAGCTTCCATGTCACTCTCTCTCTCTCAGACATCCACCCTCTTTAACCTTCTGCCCAGCCCTCAAAACCTCCCTCCTGACCCTCTGTTCACTATCCACTGGCTCACGTTCCTTCTGTCTTTCCCACCAGATCGTAAGTTCCCTGAGGACAGAGCTTTTAGGGCTGGCTCCTGTCCTCCTAGGACACGGAGCCCTCAGTAGCTTCTTGGATGAATGAATGAATGAGTACAAAGAACTGTGGTTCCAAGTGATTTTCATCTTCGAGCGCTCTGAAGAAATAAACATGCTCCTTTAACCTTTTTTAGCTCGCAAGAAAATACGACTTCCTCATCATAGAAGACGATCCTTACTATTTTATGCAGTTCAACAAGGTAAGTGCAGTGTCAACTCAACCCACAATCAGCAGACAAGTGGCTGTAAGTTACTGTGCTGATGTGAG